TTTTGGCTTTCCACTAAGTTTTAAATTGTAAACTCAATGTCAAAAAACCTCAAAAAGGATGCACTTGATGTAACACTGATTTTTTTGGTGAATAAATTTTACATTCATTCAAAAAAAAAAAAAAAAAAAAATGTATAGTTCGTTAGCTTAGGCTCCATGTGCAAATTTAATTTGGTTTTGTGTTACTTCTAGTTTGCATAAAACCATGTGTTTTATCTTCTTCATCAATAAGAAGTAACAGAACCACAATTTCTTATCTCCATTATGTTACACTGTAATAATATATATATATATATATATATATAAAATCTTCTGGTAGGTATTTTTAGTGACGTATTAATATTAGAAGTTTCCATTTACAAATATTAATACGTCACTGAAAATATCTACCAGAAAAAAATATTGTATACGACGTAAAATGAAACTTTCATGTGTATTTTTTTTTTTTTCCTTTCTTTCATGGACCTCACACCAATTTCATTAAAGTGACAATTATTTTCATTGAGGAAGAATTTAACATGTCTACTCACAAAACTCTTCATATAAATTTGTTTTGGTACTTACTATTAATTTTTATTGTTGGTCGTCTCGTCTGCCATGTTATTATGATTGGATAGGATTTAAAATATGGATTTGTAAATGATGGAGTTAACCATATATTGAACTTCAAATCTGGAAGTTGATTTTATATAATTCACGAAATGACAGCTAGGCTAACTATTCAATTATTCAAAAAAATTATTCAATTTTTAACTTTCTATATATCGTCATAAACTCATAATGTCCAGCTATTTAACCTAAACATCTACCTAACAACTAACACGGGTCAGTACTCCCTCGATTAGATTTCTCCACACATACTAAAAGATAAAGAAAAACGAAAAAGTTTTCCATGTATTTAATATTCTTTTCTTCATGTTATAATTACTACTAGACTTTTAGAAATAAAATTGGTAAAATATCTAAAACATTTACAATAAAAACTCACAAAACATTAATTGTAAATGAATCCTGATATATTGTTAAATTTCTTGTTGCCATTTCAACTTTTTTCATTCTCCATCATTTTTAATACTCATTTATTCATGTTTAAAATAATGCTGACCACTATTAATATAGTATAGATTATCGAAGTAAATTATTGAGAGAAAGAAAGAAGTAATTGATGAAAACCAAAAAAACTAAGGGACCCGCGAGAGACATTTTCAACACGCGGAAATAAGAAAAATCAAAAAGATAGAAAAAGGAAAGAAATAAAAAGGTAATAAATGTCTCTGAGTAACATAGGTTTTTTTAACTAATAATAAGACCAGTCTCTTCTCGTGTTCCTAAGCTTCGAAAAAATTCCATCTGCTGTTTTTATTCGCCTGCACTCTTATTCTGCAGTTCCCAATTTCACTTTTTTTTTTGGTTTGGTATTAGTGAAGAAGAAAACACCAAACAAAGAGGCAAAAAAAAAAAACTCACTCACAACGATGCAGAAAGCGACAAAGGCAGAGGAAAGAAAGTAAAAGGGTGAAAAATATAAAGAAGAAGAAAGATCAGATTTTTCTTTTAATTTTGGGTGGATTGTCTCCTTCCTTTGCTTGATTGCTTCGAATTGGAATAAGTCTGAAGAATTTCGAGGCGGCCATGGCTGTCGGCTTTCTCTTTTTCTCTTCTTCTTTCCCTGATTCTCAAAGGTAGGTCTCCTCTTTTTTCCCCTTTTGTTTCTTGATCTTCCTTATTACTTCAATTGGGTTTGTGATTCGATCTGATTTTAGGGTTTTCTATTGTTTAATTGTCATTTTTGATTCTGAAATTTTCGAGCTTTTGGTTACTCAACTGAGTTATATAATACCCAAAGTTCTCGACTTTCTCGCGGATTCACTTTATTCTTGAGGGGGGTGAGTTTTTATAGTTAAAATGCTGAAATTGTTGTGACTCTTCTTTATCGAAATTTGTTCAAAGATTTTGAGTTCTGGGCGTTATTTTTTAGGAATTGGATAATCAAAGATTTTGATCATAAAAAGTTCTGTTTCTGAATCATATTTTGCATTAATGTGAATGTTTTTTTGGTCTGTTTCTGTTATTTATGATCCAAATCTTGATCCCATTTTAATATGTGTTCTTTAATTGTGGTCGCTAATGTCATTTTGAAGATCATTGAGAAGCTATGAAGAACAGCGAGATTAGGCCTGAGAAGTTGCATTTACGTGAAATAAGAAAAAGTTTGAGAAAGATCAGAATGAAGTGTTTCTGTTCTGGTGAGCAAATGAGACCTAGAGAGGATGAAGACAAGAAATCTGAGCTTGGAGTTGGCAGAGACTACAATGGAAGCTCAGCTTTATCCACCGCAGAGAGCGAGAATGCCAAGAAACTAGATAATGGGAATATTGAAGAAGCCGAGTTATCTCTGCGTGAGACGAGTTCATTGAACTACGAGGTTTGATTTCTAGATCACTAATTGAGCTTTGATGATTTTGACAAGCTGAGTCATTGTGTTGTTGTTGTTTCAGGAGGCGAGAGCACTTTTAGGAAGAATTGAGTATCAGAAAGGAAATATAGAGGCGGCATTGCGAGTCTTTGAAGGGATAGATATCAATGGGATCACAATAAAGATGAAAACCGCTCTAACCGTTAGAGAAGAACGGAAACATAGAAGACGGTCTAAAGGCGGCTTTGCTGCTACTCCTCCGCCTTCGATGTCTAAACATGCTGTTAGTTTGCTTTTCGAAGCCATTTTTCTCAAAGCAAAATCTCTCCAGCGTCTTGGAAGGTTTCAAGGTAGTAACAATCATATCTTTTGATTCCATAGTATATCGTTTTTGTTTTTGGCTAAACAGAAACATCCTGTACTTCTTCTTGCAGAAGCTGCGCAGTCTTGCAGAGTTATTCTTGATATAGTCGAGACTTCTTTAGCAGAAGGTGCGTCGGATAATGTGACTGGCGATATTAAGTTGCAGGAGACACTGACAAAAGCGGTCGAGCTGCTTCCTGAATTGTGGAAGCTTGCTGATTCGCCGCGTGATGCTATTTTGTCGTATAGAAGAGCGCTTCTCAATCACTGGAAACTCGATCCAGAAACCACGGCGAGGATCCAGAAAGAGTATGCCGTGTTTCTCCTCTATTCCGGGGAAGAAGCAGTGCCACCAAACCTACGTTCTCAGACTGAGGGCTCGTTCATTCCGAGGAACAATGTGGAAGAAGCTATTCTTCTTCTAATGTTACTTCTCAGAAAAGTTAATCTGAAAAGAATCTCGTGGGATGCGGCAATCTTGGACCATCTCTCGTTCGCTCTTACAATCGCAGGCGATCTAACTGCTCTGGCTAAGCAATTTGAAGAGCTTAGTCCCGAGCTCTATGATCAGAGGGAACTTTATCATACATTGTCTCTGTGTTACCAAGGTGCAGGAGAAGGTCTTGTCGCCCTTGGTTTACTGAGGAAGCTATTTTCAGAACGAGAGGATCCAAACCGAATTTTGGGTTTGCTGATGGCTTCCAAAATATGCGGTGAGAGAGCTGGTCTTGCTGAGGAAGGGTTAGATTATGCCCGGAGAGCAATCGGAAACTTGGGGAACGAATGCAGTCAGTTAGATGGAGCAGCGCGTTTCGTTTTAGGGATCACACTCACGGAAAGCTCGAGAATGGCTGTTACAGAGACAGAGCGGATAGCTAGGCAATCCGAGGGGATTCAGGCTCTGGAATCTGCGGATATGACAAACCCGAGAGTTGTGCACCGTCTTGCGTTGGAGAATGCAGAACAGAGGAAACTGGATTCTGCATTAGCATATGCTAAACAGGCGTTGAAACTTGGAGCGGAGTCTGATCTTGAAGTATGGTTACTTTTGGCTCGGGTTTTATCTGCGCAGAAGCGGTTTTCAGACGCGGAGACCATTGTGGATGCGGCGCTTAACGAGACAGGGAAATGGGAACAGGGGAAGCTGTTACGTTTGAAGGCAAAGATTCGCTTAGCTAAAGGGGAAGTGAAAGATGCGATTACGACTTACACACAACTTCTAGCACTCCTTCAGGTTCAGAGCAAAAGCTTCAATTCTGCAAAGAAGCTGCCTAAGGTAACTTTTCGTATGTTCTCATTCCTCTCCCAAACTTTTGAGGTGTGCAGAATTAATACTGAAACAGATTTATTCATTACAGGGATATGTAGAGGAATTGAGGAGTCTGGAGCTTGGTACGTGGCACGATCTGGCTCATATCTACATAAACCTCTCTCAATGGCGTGACGCAGAGTCATGTCTCTCGAGATCAAGACTCATTGCGCCTTATTCTTCTGTTAGATACCACACTGAAGGTATTACCTTCTTCTTCTACTTCCATTTAGACCTCGAGTGTTTGTTTATATTTTTGTTTCCATGTAGTGTCTTTTTTCGAACATAAAAATTGGCGGTTGAAACAAGCAAGGCGGTAATATTGATAGCTTATTCGTACCAATTGGCAGGTGTACTGCACAATAGACAGGGGCAATTAGAAGAAGCAATGGAGGCGTTCACAACCGCTCTTGATATAGATCCGATGCACGTTCCAAGCTTAATATCGAAGGCTGAGATCCTGCTGGAACTCGGGAATCGATCAGGCATAGCGGTTGTAAGAAGCTTTCTAATGGAAGCTCTTAGGATTGATAGGCTGAACCACTCGGCTTGGTATAATCTTGGAAAGATGTTCAAAGCTGAAGGATCTGTCTCGTCAATGCAAGAAGCCGTCGAGTGTTTTCAAGCCGCTGTTACACTGGAGGAAACAATGCCAGTGGAGCCATTCAGATGATTTTGCCGCCCTCAAATCATATTTTTTTGTATTTTTGGTTATTGATTTCTCTTTTTCTGATTTTTTTTTTTGTTTGTTTTGATAGATGAATATAAGAAGATATAAAGATGTATGTGTGGGTATCATTTGATGTGAAGTTTATAAACATTGTGTAATACACAGTTAAAAAAAAATTAATATAGGTTTTGGTGAGGTAAATTTTGTAAGCCAGGTTTTATGGAGAAAACTTCCAAGTTTAATATTCTAAAAAAGATTTAACATAAGAAATCTGTATCGGTAAAACTAATGAGTTAAGCATTTAGATTACATTCGAATGATGAAGATTCTCCCAAACTAAACTCTTTATTTTTGTTTTGTTTCTTTCTCGGGGATCTGTTGTTTTGTCTACACAGCTGAGTTGAGAGAGTCTTCCATCAGAAAAATAGTTAAACAGTAGCGAGAGAAGTCCTGAAGCTCAAGATAAGAGCTCTCTCTCTCTCTCACTGTTAAACTCTGAAACTCCAAGATTATCCAGCAAAACACTAATTCTTTCAATTATCGGTTTTGGGACGCTTTGGCTGTGGAGATTCTGGTTCCTCACATTTCCGGGTTTCTTCTGATGCGAGCTCCTTTGTATCAGCAGTTTTCTTGTCTTCTTGTTCAGATTTGGCTGCGGAATCTGATGTCGAGGCTGTCCCTTTGGCAAGATCCGAGTTTTGTTTCTCGAACATCATTTGCAGGTACTTGCCTTGTTCTTCTATTCGGAGTTGCAGGTTTCTTTGAATCTACAGGCACAGGAAAAGAACACATTTTATATCCAAACTCAGAATACTTAGAATCAGGTTTCACATATTTACTCTTTGCAGCTACCATGCAAACACATAAGCATAAAAACCAAAGCTAATAGCAATGCATTTATGAACATACCTCGAGCTGCTCATGGAGTTGCTTCTGTACTTCCATCTGAAGTCTCAGAGCCTCTGTAATACCTATCCCACTACAGTATAAATATGTACGAGGTGAGAATCTGTTCAAAATAGTGTAGCACTTGTGATGTTACAAGATTATAATAAACCTTACCCTTTCAAATCAAGAGATGTTATATGTTCAAGCGGTGTCAACTTCTTCTCTGGCGAACCTGTAGTGATCAAAGAAACTTTAGTTTATACACTGAATTCTTTAGGTAAAATCATCAAGGAAGATGGGAACGAGTTTGGTATCTACCAGTTTCTGATGGCTCTGGCCGATATCTAGCTGTCCTATATTTCTGAAAAAACCATCTACTATTAGAAGACAATTCTATGCATTTAGCAGGGAGCTAAAGATTAGTAAGAACCTGTAAATGGCTTTTGACATGATAAATAGTCAAGCCTTCAACTTTCATAATCTTCAGTACGCCTTTAGGAGTAGCTCCTGCGTCAGATATAATTTAACCAGACCAAAAGTTATTATCTTTCCATATGCCATACAAAGTTTATGGTAAGCAAAGCGAAATAAATGCTCACTTTCACTGCCACCAAGACTGTTGACAGCCTCAACAAAGGCCTCGTGAAGCTCTGGCGTCCAACGCATACGTGCCTTGCCCGTTCCGTTATTACTGTTTGAAGATGTTGTGCTAACAGGTCGCAATTCCACAGACGGAGAAGGTTGCTGCTGAACAATCTGAGGTTGCGGAATTTGCAGTGATTTCTGGTCCTAAAACAGTGTGTCCAACCAATTTTGAACAACATGAGAATACGGATATCAAATAGAAAAAAGTAAAGACTTCGAAAAAAGAAATTTTAACAACCTTTGAATCAGAATTGGAACTTGTTTCAAGCAAGAGATCATTCCAGTTAGTAGACATCAAAGGATCTTCATCGGTGATCAAATGGTCAGCCCATTCATGCCAATCACTTCGCTTTTGAATGTCATCAAAAGCAGCAGCAATGCCACCATCCTCAATTTGACTGTTGTTTTGAATCGCCGGGTTGTTGTTTTCATGGAAATCAAGAAACCCTCCTCCTGGCAATGAATCATGACACCAAGAACTATCGTTGCTCGGTGTCTGCGCAGCATGACTGCTGCTTCCTGCGTAGTGTTGCTTCTCATGAGATACCATAGTCGAGTAATGGAGATTGTTGGAGAAACCACCGGATGATGAAGAAGAACATATATGTCCAACAGCTCCACCGTTACTAGAGGAAAGCAAATGGTAGGATTGTCCTAAATGCCTCGACATTAACTGAGTGTTGTTCTCTGATCTGATAAAACTATCTTCTGCTGCTGAAGGTTTTTGTGTAGATGGGATTGAAGAAGTGCGTGCGAGGTTACTACTGAGCTCTCTCGAACCTGATCTCTGAACCGGACGAGCCTCCATTGCTGTCCTGCAACAGAAAATCATAATCAAGACACCATTTTTACTGTCTGATGTAAATAAAGTCGCAGTTTTTATTGAAGAAAACATCGAGAATCAACGACAAAGCAAACCCAAATCGAATCCACCAATCATTAATGGATTTTATTGAAGAAAGCAAAGATATCTAAAAATTATGCTCGAAAGATATAAATTCTCTATGTCCTTGTAGATTACACAAACACGAAGAAGAAGAAGAAGAATCGAAAATTCAATCACCTAGGAATTCATGAAGACATCGAGACTCAAGGAAGACGAATCGAATCCGAGAAAATGATGATTATAAAAATTCTTGAGGAAAATCGGAGAATCGTCTTGTCCCCAAGAGAAATGATGAAGGTGATGATTTTCTTCGCCTTCTTGTTTAATTTCGGAGGTGGTGGTGGCTGTCTTAAACAAAGGGATCAGCCGTCGTTTCTCTTCACGCGCGGTGAATATCGCGTGAATATGACTCGCTTGCCGGACCTTACGTGGATGTTGTTTATTGGATAATTGGGATCGTTTATTGGGCTTGGTCTTTTCTCGTCTTTATTTATTTATATTTTCTGGTGTCTATGATATTCCCTGCTCTCTCAATCTCTTTATTAAAGGCCCAAAGTGGCTTGCTGATTCATAGTTTTACAAAAGTTCAATTTTCTGTGTCCAGAACCAGAACCGAGGTATTATTGTCATGAATTTGCCTCCCTCCGTATCGTTTTAAATCTCAATCCATTTTAAGTATGCACGGTGTAACATTATTCTCCCTTGAACCAATGTCAATTCAAAACCAAAAATGAAAAATGAAAAGAAGGAAGTATTATTCAATTTTTTATTGGATTTATTATATTTGCCCTTATGATTTCCCAAAATAACGTAAAACCAATGAAATAACCAGCAAAAAAAGAACTACAGAGGCAGTGTTCTAAAAAGCGGTCTAGGCGGTCGCCTAGGCCCCGACTAGGCGCTAGGCTCTCATGCGACGCCTAGATAACCACCTTGACCGCCTAAAATTACATAGATCTTGTTTAATGTATTTTTTCAATTTCAATTAGAGTTTTATTTATATATATATAGTTATAAATATTCATATATTGTTTAATATAAATATAAATAAATATTTTATCTAATTTTTATTTATAATTTCATAATTTTTAGTTTTATATAGATATTTTATATAACTTTTATATATAATATCATATTGATAATGTTTTATGTTATAAACGTCTAAACCGCCTAAAAAATCGTCTAGGCCCCGATTAGGCGTTCTAGGCGCTAGGCACTGAGTCACCGCCCGCTTAGCGCCTAGCGCTTTCTTGAACACTGTACAGAGGTGAAAACAGAACCCAAAGATTCACACCTCCAATTTACTGTTTTGTTGTGTCCATAATTTGGCGTATCTTCCAGATTTTCCCAACAGCACTTGGTGTGTCCCTTTTCCCACCACTTTCCCTTTCTCCATTACTATAATCTCATCACATTGCATTACAGTGGTCAGTCTATGTGCAATGAAAATGCAATTTCTGTTACTCGCTAGCGACCTCAGCGATTTCATTATCTCTGCCTCGGTTTTACTGTCGAGCGCACTAGTCGCTTCGTCACACAACATAATCACTGGTGATTTTAGAAATGCACGAGCAAGTGCTACTCTCTGTTTCTCTCCACCACTCAGCATCAGCCCTCTTTCTCCCACCGCCGTTGAATATTTATCCGGGAATTTCATGATCATGTCGTGAATCGCTGCTCGCCGAGCTGCATCGTACACCTCTTCCTCTGTTGTTGAAAGGTTTCCATAGTGAATGTTGTGAAATATAGTGTCGTTGAAGAGCACCTTCCATGTGAATTAAGGATATTAATACGATTGGTATATATCGCTGATATTATAGTTGTATATGTAGTTTATTTTTAGTTTTAAATCTTGCATTTTGTGTTTTGAGAACAGTGACATGTTAAATATAAAACTATCAAAATTATAGTGAAAATGTCAACTTACAGTATCTTGAGGGACAACTCCAATGGAGCTTCGAAGACTCTTCAAACTCACTTCCTTTATATTCTGACCATCAATCTTTACATTTCCGGAATCTGTGTCAAAGAATCTGAATATCATTCTAAGAATCGTCGATTTTCCGCTTCCGCTACTACCAACAATCGCCACACTTTTCCCCGCCGGTACCTCAAATGAAATCCCATCTAAAATCTTTCTCTCCGGCAGATAACTAAAGTGTACATTCTCAAAACTAATGCTTCCACCTTTCAGAACAAGAGGAGGGAACTTCCTGTCTATATCTTTATCTCCGATATCGGATCTTTCCTCTAGCTACTTGAACATGGATTTCATGTCCACAAGGCCCTGAACGGTGTCGCTATAAACAACACCGAGAAAATAAAGAGGAAGAGACAATTGAAAGAGAAGACCATTCACCATCACCAAATCACCAACTGTCATCTGACCATTCATAATCCCTTGAGAACACAACACCATTGCTGTTGACAAAGCTGTGCTAAATATAACACTCTGTCCAAAATTTAACAAGGCAAAACTTTTCCGACTTTGCAATGCAGCATCTTCGTAATTTTCGTGTAACTGATCATACTTTCGAGCTTCGTAATCTTCGTTGTTGAAATACTTAACAGTCTCGTAGTTTATGAGAGAGTCAATGGCTCTTGTGCTAGCATCGTTTTCGGCTTCATTCATAGCTTTTCTAATCTTGATTCTCCACTGTGTCAAAGCCAATGTGAAAGCTATATATGATCCAACAGAAAGACAAGTAATCAATGCATAGACAACTCCGAATTTGTATGCTAATGTAAATGAGACCATTGATATCTCCAAGATCGTGGGAACAATGTTGAAAACCATAGCTGAGAGAATCGTGTTTATAGCGCGGCTTCCACGATCAATGATTCTGTTCAAAGCACCTGTTTCTCGATTCAAGTGGTAACGAAGATCGAGATCGTGTAAACGCGAGAGCACTTTTCTAGAGATGGTTCGTATGGTGTGGAGAGCTACTTTGGAGAAAACACTAGTACGAAGCTCGTTAAAAGCGGAAGATCCAGATCGAGCAATGCCATAACCAATGAGAACAGAGGAAGGAGTAGCGAAAGCAGCAACTAGAAAAGGATTTGAATCAACAAATGAAGATGAAGAGAGCCAATCTATAGCTACTTTGAAGAGGAAAGGAACTTGAACATTCAAGAACTTGGCTCCCACGAGACACGCTAAAGCAGTGATGACTCTGAAACGTAGTTTTGGGTTGTCTTTCATCCATAGGTAGCTTGAAATCATGCGGAGGATCTTCTCCGACGACGTCGTGTTGATTTGATTATCAGGTTTAGAGGTGGTCTGATCTTGATTTGGAGCTGAAGTTGAAGTTGAGAAGAACATAACGCGTGCGTTGACCATTGGAGTGATCGGAGATGGATTAGAGTTATATGCATTGATAGGTGCAGATTCAAGAATTGAGTTACGTTTGATGAGCCTGGAGAAACTGTGATGAACATGATGATGATGATAACCAGAGCGAAGACGGTAAGACAGAGAAGTGTGACAGAGTTGGAGCTGAGATACCCTCATCATTGCTTCTTGTCCGAACAATAAAAACAGTTTGGTCTGATTCGTTTCCTATATTTCTGTACTGTCTCTTTGACTTTTTGCTCGACCTCTTGCTGAATCCAGTTTCGTACCATAGCACCTGAAGAAGAAGAAGAAGAATATTAAAAAATTATAAAAACTTGAAATTAGTTTAACATTAAACAAAAAAAAAAAAAAAAAAAAAAACCATCCTACCAGCACTAATGCACCGGATCCCATCAAAACCTTGAAATTAGCAAATCTCAGAGAAATAACCTTGCTAGTCTTTGTTTATCAATAAGATTATGAATTAGCTATCTCGGAGATAACCGGTCCTGGTTCGATTGCCACGTGTTTGAGGCATGAGAACCGGATACTTCAAGGACTATTGGTTATGCCCGGTTATATCCGGTTTAGCCTTCATTTTTGTCCTAACAATCCAAAGTTAAACGGGAAAACCAAATTCTTTAAAATTTAAAATACAAATATACAGTAGCTTACTTTAATACCGAATAACCAGAAACAGAAAAAATCGGTTTGGTAATACACTTACCACTATAAATTATTTTCCCTACTACTGTACAAGGTGACAAATATGTATTTTTTTTCTTTTGTAACAAGGCTATACAAAGCACAAACAATTATATTTGCAAATATGATTCTCCAAAAATAACTTAAGCCAGCAAAAAAAAGAATTAATTAGGCGAAAACAGAACCCCAACACTTGCTCTTTTCACACCTCCAATTTACTGTTTTGTTGTGTCCACAAATTGGCGTATCTCCCAGATTTCCCCAACAACACTTGGTGTGTCCCTTTTTCCACTACTTTCCCTTTCTCCATTACTATTATTTCATCACATTGCATCGCAGTGGTCAGCCTATGTGCAATGAAGACGCAAGTTCTGTTACTCGCTACCGACCTGAACGTTTTCATTATCTCTGCCTCGGTTTTACTGTCAAGCGCACTCGTTGCTTCGTCACACAACAGGATTGCAGGTGCTTTCAGAAATGCACGAGCCAGGGCCAATCTTTGTTTCTCTCCACCACTCAGCATCAACCCTCTTTCTCCCACCGCGGTCCTATATTTATCCGGGAATTTCATGATCGTATCGTGAATCGCTGCTCGCCGAGCTGCATCGTACACCTCTTCCTCTGTTGCTGAAAGGTTTCCATAGTGAATGTTGTGAAATATTGTGTCATTGAAGAGCACCTGCCAATTACCATAATGCCAGTGAATTAAGGATATGATTGGTATAGTTTCTCTTATATTATGCAACCATGAAAATTGACATGATAATATTAAAATAAAGATATTTAGTTATTATTAGGAAACATTTTGGGAGTGTAATTGTCACTTCTTTATGATTTTATGCTAACATACTAACTACATTGTACATTACTTCACAAAACCGGTTTGGACTTATAACAGTAAAATCATATTGTAAGAGGAAGTTTATAGACTTATTATAGTGAAAATGGCAACTTACAGTATCTTGAGGGACAACTCCAATGGAGCTTCGAAGACTCTCTAATCTCACTTCCTTTATATCCTGACCATCAATCTTTACATTTCCGGAATCTGTGTCAAAGAATCTAAATATCATTCTAAGAATCGTCGATTTTCCGCTTCCGCTACTACCAACAATCGCCACACTTTTCCCCGCCGGTACCTCAAATGAAATCCCATCTAAAATCTTCCTCTCCGGTAGATAACTAAAGTGTACATTCTCAAAACTAATACTTCCACCTTTCAGAACAAGAAGAGGAAGCTTTGTATTTGTATCTTTATCTCCGATATCGGATCTCTCCTCTAGCAACTGGAACATTGATTTCATATCCACAAGGCTCTGAACGGTTTCGCGGTAAACACCACCGAGAAAGTAAAGAGGAAGAGACAATTGAAAGAGAAGACCATTCACCATCACCAAATCACCAACTGTCATCTCTCCATTCATAATCCCTTGAGAACACAACACCATTGATGTTGACAAAGCTGTACTAAATATAAAACTCTGTCCAAAATCTAAAAAGGCAAGACTTTTCTGAGTTTGCAATGCAGCATCTTCATATCTTTCGAGTAAATCATCGTACTTTCTCCCTTCGTAATCTTCGTTATTGAAATACTTAACAGTCTCGTAGTTTATAAGAGAATCAATAGCTCTTGTGCTAGCATCATTATCAGCTTTATTCATAGCTAATCTAAACTTAGTTCTCCATTGTGTCACAACCAATGTGAAAGCAATGTATGATCCAACGGAAAGAGAAGTGATCAAAGCAAAAACAGGTCCAAAATTGTATGCTAATATACCTGTGACCATAGATATCTCCAAGATCGTGGGAACAACATTGAAAACCATAGCTGAGAGGATCGTGTTAATAGCGCGGCTTCCACGATCAATGATTCTATTCAAAGCTCCTGTTTCTCGATTCAAATGGTAACGAAGATCAAGATCGTGTAAATGCGAGAGCACTTTACGAGAAACGGATCGTATTGTACGGAGAGCTACTTTAGAGAAAACAGCAGTACGAAGCTCGTTAAAAGCAGAAGATCCAGATCGAGCAATGCCATAACCAATGAGAACAGAAGAAGGAGTAGCGAAAGCAGCAAGAAGATAAAGATTTGAATCAGCGATTGTTGATGAAGATGAAGAGAGTAAATCGATAGCTAATTTGAAGAGGAAAGGAACTTGAACATTCAAGAACTTAGCTCCTAATAGACACGCTAAAGCAGCGATGACTCTGAATCGGAGTTCTGGGTTGTCTTTCATCCATAGATAGCTTGAAATCGTGCGGAGGATCTTTTGAGACGACGTCGTGTTGATTTGTTTATGAGATTTAGTGGTGGTTTGATCTTGATCTTGATTTGGAGCTGAAGTTGAAGTGGAGAAGAACACGACGCGTGCGTTGACCGGAGATGGAGATGGAGAAGCATCGGAGAGGAATGCATTGATAGCTGGTGATCTTTGAATTGAGCTACGCTTGATGAAATTGTGATGATGATGAAAATCAGAGCGAAGACGATAAGAAAGAGAAGCGCGAGAGAGGAGAAACCGAGATCCCCTCATCATCGCTTCTTGTCCGAAAGAATCACATACAAGTTGGTCCGAATATATTCTTTGATTCTCTGTTTTGGTCTCTCTGTGCTACAGAGTCGCTGAACAAGAAGAAGAAGAAGAAGAAGAAGATATCAACTCGGAAATAACCGGTTTCGGTTTATTGTTTTATTAAGATAATGAAATTAGCTATCTCGGAGATAACCGGTCCTGGTTTATTGCCACTGGGCTTGAGAGTTGAGAGAATCAGATACTACTTTTTAGCTACGGTGGTGCACACCGCAGCGAATCTCAGACTACTCTCTCTCACATGGACACTTTCGAAAATTCAACTCTTCTTGTATATGCAATTAATTAAAAAATTGAACGGTTTATTTGGAAAGTAAAAGAAGCAACGGTCGGTTATGTCTTCCCTCCAGACGACAGGGTTTTTATTCGGACACCACTAAAAATGGACAGCTAAACTCCTTTTTTGCTTTGAAAATTCAATTTATAATTACGTGATTAAAGATTAGATTGCCACTTGATTTTAAAATATTAATTAAAACTATTTAGTGATGGTATCAAACTATCAATAGCTTTAAACCGGAACTAATCAGCACCGTCCGATTTGGAAAGATGGATGGACCAAAGGACGTGTGGGCACGAGTCCCCCCCCTGTTCACGTGGGTCCCACGTAGCCTTCTTAGTAATCTTTTTCTTAGCCGGCCGATTGAATCCCATGAAGCTGACATGTGAGCCCCCACTTCTTGAAGATATATGTATGAATTTTTTTTTTTGAGCTTTTATTTATTTTCCAGCTTTTTAAAAATGTTTTTATTAATCCCACGGATACAACCGTTTTGATATCAATTTTTCTTTGAAATCTATCCGATCTATATAAGATTTTGGAGTCAAATACCAACTATAAACATCTGAACATTAATACAATAATATACATTTTGAAAAATCATGTTGTCCATTATTATTTTTTGGCATCTTATCATATCGTTAATTGATTGTGTAATAGTTTTTCTTATAGAAGTTAAGTAATTTATACAATTATGTAATTGTGTTTTAAACTTTTAATTGAAATTTGTGAGAGTAAATGATCAATTATATAGACAACTGAATTTCGCATAATTGTGAAACTTATCAAAAATTTGCATTAAATTTACTAAAAGTCCACATATTATGTTTTTTAAAGAAGTTATATAAGTGGATATTGCTAAAAGAAGAAAAACAAAAAAAAGAGTTTCAAGTAAATATATTCACGGAATAAAGTGATAAATTTATTACAATGTTTTTGCATAAAAATTTGATATTTTTTTCGGCGAGAAAGAAGACTATAAGTTAGGGAAGTGAAAAAGAGACAAAACCCACCCGTCGTGTCTTCTTGTTCATCCTTTGTTTCCCTTTTTCTTTCTCACTGTTTCTGCCTTACTTAAAGTCTCAATCTTTGCTTCAAATTCAACCCATCTCTTCTTCTTCCTTCCCTCACAATCAAATCAAATCTCCAACGATTGATTTCTCTTCTTCTGTTCCCAATTCTCAGCTTCTGGTTTGTCTTAAATGGAAGGCGGTTCCGCTAGTGGATCAGCTTCGGCTTTGTCAAACGATGAAAATCTCGTCGTTTCTTGTGAGGATTCTTCTTCTCCTGTAGGGAATGAGCTCGAGCTTGGTCTTACTTTGAGCCTTGGTCCAAAAGGGTATCGAGATTGTAGGGTTTCTTATGCTGATGATTCTTCTTCTTCTTCGTCTTCATCTTCTTCTCTGAGCAGAGCTAGCGTAATTGCTGGGATCAAAAGAACAGCTGATTCCATGGCTGCAACTAGTGGGTGAGTAAGATTCTCCTTCTTTCATCCAATTCTAGAAAAGCTTTTACATTTTGATCAATCATGGTTTATTTTGGGATTCTTAATATCATGATTATCAATAGAACCAAAAATAAAGATTTGATTTTTGCTTTTTATGGGATTTGATTAGACAGAATGTTCTTTGATCACAGTTGTCTGAAAAGATTCGACCTTTGTTACGTAGATGACTTTGAATGTTATCTATCTTCCTGATCATTAGATAATTTGCTTTGGTCATTTATATCTGGAAATTGAATCTTACTATCGTTTTCCAGAGATGACAATCTCTTTCTTCTGGAATTCTAAAGTATTTGCTTTGGAAGGAAAATGAGTAATCCTCCTGTAAAGTGATGCTCTTGGTATCTGATTTTGTTGAAAGTCATCTAGATTTGAGCCGCGAAGTGTTTTAAAGCCTTTGTGTGTGTTTACTCTGTGTTGAGCTTTTGAAACCTTTGAAAAATTGCAGGCAAGTAGTGGGATGGCCACCAATAAGGACTTATAGAATGAACAGTATGGTTAACCAAGCTAAGGCTTCAGCCACTGAAGATCCCAACTTGGAGATCCGTCAAGAAGTAAACAAGAATAGAACTGATGCAACAAAGATGAGAAATTCCATGTTTGTTAAGGTGACTATGGATGGCATTCCGATTGGAAGGAAAATCGATCTGAATGCTCATAAATGCTATGAATCATTGTCAAACACTCTTGAAGAAATGTTTCTGAAACCCAAATTAGGTACGCTTTTTCGAATCTTGTGACCTTTTTAATTTGGTTCCTTTCAAGTCTTTTCTTGGTATGGGAAATGAAGTGATGATTGTTTCTGTAATCAGGTTCAAGCACACGAGAAACCGATGGTCATATGGAAACACCGCTCAAGATACTACCAGATGGGTCTTCTGGATTAGTACTAACGTATGAAGACAAGGAAGGAGATTGGATGCTTGTTGGTGACGTTCCGTGGGGGTATGTATACATATATACTTATGCTTTCGATGTTGAATTAATGTTAGCTCCAAGTTCTGAATGAGTTTTTTTACTTGTGTCTAGGATGTTTATTGGTTCGGTGAGAAGGCTCCGGATAATGAAAACATCGGAAGCTACTGGTAAAGGTACGTTTAACGATTCGATCAAGTCCCAATATCCTCAATTTTTTTTTGTCTTTGTGACCGTGTTTGTGTGATCCTTGTTTTACAGCTCAAATGATCTTATGAAGCAAATAATAATCTACGAAGAACCCTTTATGTTCGAAGCCAGTAATAAGACTGATCACAGATCAAAGAGAAGACAAAAACATTGTAAGAAGCTTCTTCTTCTTCTTCTCTCCCCTTTTACAGTTTTTTTGGCTCTGCCATTTTTCTTTAGTTAGTTATATGTTCTCTTTGTAAATCACACTTCAAAATCTATAACAAAACCCCTGTCTTGCACAAAACAAAACGGTTCAGAGCAATGCACAAAGTTAATATGATCATGTAAAACAAAGGAAAGTTATTCTACATGGAATAATTAAATCAAAAGATACATATCTCTCTCTTTCTCTCTTCTACATACAGAACACGAATCGAACGAATCAGTTTATCGGCCTTTTTTGATTCTTTCATCTCAATCCTAAAGAAGGCCATTTACAGGTGAAGTATTAAAAACCGATGTATGTTTCTCGGCCAAGCTACGACTAGTGTTCTCTTCATTACTGTTACTTTTCCTCCTCGGTTTAGCTTCTCCGAGCATCGATATCACATCTCTCATCGAAGGTCTGTCTTTAGGGAGCTTCGTAGTGCAGAGAAGAGCGATTTGTAGAACTAAAAGCATCTCTTCTTGAACATATCTGCAGTTTCCTACATCAGGATCTAATGCTTCTTCTAATGATATGTTGTCTCTTATCTTCCTTCTCACCCACTCCACAATGTCTACAGATTCTCCAAACTCCGGCTCCAATGGTCTTCTTCCGGTTAACAGCTCCAACAATACGACGCCGTAACTGTATATATCTATCTTCTCATCCACCTTCAATGTGTATCCATACTCTGCAAATGATCAACCAGATTAATTAGACTAAACCGGATTGTAATCAATTTAGTAACCGGTACGGTATTTAAACCTTACCGGGAGCAATGTAACCGTAAGAACCGGCGACCATTGAAACGGTTTCTTTCTTCCTCGCCATCATCCTCGCGAGGCCAAAATCGGCGATTCTGGCGTCGAGATTCGCGTCGAGCAAGATATTGTTGGATTTGATGTCTCTGTGAATCACTGGAGGATGACAATCATGGTGGAGGTAAGCTAGGCCGTGAGCTACACCTAACGCGATGTTGTAACGCGAAACCCAATCAACGAGAAGCCTCCCGGCGGCGTTTTTGCCGTGAATCGCGTCGCCGAGGTTTCCGTTGAGCATGAATTCGTATACGATCATCATGTTTTTGTCGTTGTATAAGAACCCTAGGAGCCTCACGATGTTTCTGTGTCTCAATTTCCCGAGGAGGTTTACTTCGCCGACGAAATCTCCGGTAGTTCCATCTTCGATATCGGCGGCGGATCTCCAAAGCTTCTTCACGGCGAGCACTGTGCTCGATCGTGACATTTCTGCTTTGTATACGATTCCTGTAGCTCCCATTCCGATCATGTTCGATTCTTTGATACATGCCAAGATATCGGAAGCTGTAAACCCTAATCTATGAAACGCCATTAATCTCCAAGGCCATTCACCTTTGCTCGCCGTCTCGTCGCCGCAGAATCCGTTGGAATACCATCTTTTGTATAGAGTTCTGGCAACGAGGGTGAGAATCCCTAGAGCTAGAACCGATGCTATCCCAATTAACCATCCGGCGACAATCCGTTTCCCGTGGAAGCTCTTGTGACCTGATGTTGCTCCTTGGAATTTGCTACACGGTGGAAGAACGCCGCCGCAGAGACCGGAGTTTCCTTTCAGATCATCTGGATTTATGGTTTTGAGAAAGCCGTTGATAGGGACTGGACCTGTGAGCTTGTTGTAGGAGACGTTTAGGAGTTCCAGAGCTGGAGATGTTCCGATACTCTCCGGTAGTACTCCGGTTAAAGAATTGTTGGAGAGATCGAGCACAGCTAACGCGGACATTGTCGTGATCTGTCTAGGGATCTCTCCGGTGAGGTTATTGTTTCTTAGGTTGAGGCTTACGAGCTTCTCGCATGAAGCAATGCCGGAAGGGATAGTTCCTGTGAGAGTATTTGATGAGAGATCGAGATTCGAGAGTGAAGGACAATCCTGGAATTGATCTGGAATTTCGCCGGAGATAAAGTTCTCGGCGACTAAAAACGCCTGCAGATTGTGAATTGAGAGGATTGTGGAAGGGAGGGATGATCGGATCTGGTTTCTTGATAAATCGATGAAAGAAAGCGAAACTGAATCCGAGATGTCTCCGGGGATCCCTCCGGTGATACGATTTCCTGCTAATTCGAGTCTTTGTAGCTTCTCAAGCTTGCCGAAGCCGATGGGAATTGAACCGTTTAGTAGATTGTTCTGCATCCTGACACGAACTAGTGACTGGCAAGTGGATAGAGTCGCTGGAATCTGACCGGTGAAGGTGTTGTTGAACAGAATGAGCTTGGTTAGATTTCCCTTGTTGCATAGGGTCGAAGGAATCTTGCCTGAGAAGGAGTTTGAAGAAACGTCAAGCCATTGTAATGGAGAATTCTTCCCAAGATCGGTTGGCAACTCGCCGGAGAGTGTGTTGTTCCAGAGCTCGAGGACTTGTAACTGCTCTAGATTGCTGATCCCGGGAGGAATGGAGCCGGAGAGTTTGTTGCGCATCAGGTTCAGTAGCTGCAGGTTCTTCAGCTTGGTTATCTCCACTGGAATCTCGCCGGTTAATGCGTTATCGGAGAAATCAAGAACCTTTAGCGTGGTAATGTTTCCGATCTCTCTTGGAATTTTTCCGGTGAAGTTGTTCTCGTACAGGAGAAGCGTCTCGAGTGACTTGAGCTTCCCGAGCTCCGACGGAATCTCACCACTGAGCTTTCCGATGGCCAAATCGAGGTACTTGAGGCTGGTTATGTTTCCAAATTCCGGTGGAATCGGACCTTTGAATTCGTTGTAACCAAGAATGGCGGTTTCAAGTGAAAGGAGCTCGCCGAGAAGGCTTGGTAACTCACCAGTGAGATTGTTTCCGGATAATCCGAGAAATCTCAGCTTCTGTAGATTCTTGAATGAACTTGGAAGTGACCCTTGAAAGAAATTCCCTCGGAGATCAAGAACTTCTAAAGAGACTAAGTTCCCAAGATCCTCCGTGAGATTTCCAATGAGACTGTTCCCTGAAGCATTGAGGTGAACGAGTCCTAGTGATTCGTTACCAAATAGAAAAAGACTACCTGAGAATGAATTCTGGCTGATGTCTATAGAGTTCAACGGAGGGATCGATTTCGGTAGCAGCGACTCGAATCCGTTGCATGAGATGTTAAACGAAACAAGGCTTCTCAGCTGCCTGATCGAATCTGAGATTTTACCCGTGAGATTCATCCCCGACAGGTCGAGCTTCTCAACAAAGCCATGGGAGTTGCACCGAACACCGGTCCAGTTACAATGATCACCAGTTTCTGAAAGCTTCCAGTCTTTAAGAAAGTTGAGAGGATCCACAAGAGTTGATTTTACCGAGAGCAAAATAGAGAGCTCGTTGACATTGTCGATGGAAGCTAAAACAGAGGAAGTAGAACCAATGTAACAGTAGTAGAGGAAGAGAACCATAATCTTCATCTTCAACTTCATCTTCTTCCTCTGTCTCAGCAGCTTCAACTAAAACTTGACTCCTTAGTTCATTACCAAGAACAAGACTAGTGAACATGCAAGGAGGTGGTGGAGGAAGAAGAGTATAGAATAAGAAGAAAACTCGGCAAGTATATGCTTGCTCTGTATTTATTATGTTATACTATATATATGTGATATATAAACACACAGAGATATAAAATGAATCTTGGTTTTATATGGATCTAGTGATCAAAGAGTATGTAGGGTTACATGTTCTAAGAAAAAAAAGAAATAAACAAGATCTTGGAAGTATTTGAGAAATTTCTCAAGACATTGAACATGTGAAGAGAGAATGTGTTTTTTTCACAATTACAACTAATCCAAAAATGTGTTCGGTGTTTTAAAATTAAATTTAGTCAACTATTGATTTGCTGTATAGTGATTTGTGAATGTGCCATAGTTAGCTTAAGCTTAATCTAATAGTACTAAATTACTAATATAATTAATTTGTTTATGCATACACTTGGTGTGTGGCATAGAGGTAGCTTATGCTTAACTTCATTCTAATTCAGCTTTTGTAGAATGTCTTTATCTATTTTCTCGCCTTTTTCTTTTTGTGTCTTTTAATGCTTGCCTTCTAAGGTAAAAATATATATATCAAAAATACCATTTGCACTTAGCTCTTAGCAAATAATCGTTCACATCACACATTAATGATTAATCCGTGATTATATTGTAAATCTCGTATTTAGGATTTAGCCACCGAGGTGAACGTTCGAAGCATCAGAATGGGTGACCTGCACATGTGATTAAGAAGAACAAATGATCCCATTACCCTTATTTAATTTCAGATAGGTCCAAATAATTATATTAAATATTTAATATTAGCAATAATGAAGATGATCCCACGATCAATCTTCACGTTTCTTCTTACCCCTTATGAATTTCGAAAAGTTTCTTTCTATTTGGTTTAGTTAAAAAATAAAAGAAGATCGAGCCCACCTCATGGCCATTATATGTAAAAACATATTTCTTTAATTCAATCATAGTTACCATGATTTTTTACAAAAATGTGAATATTATAATGTATGCCACTGCAGAGAGTGCAGGCTTGTTACTCTTCTTCCATTTGCATGATTGATTAGATAAGAATCTTTCCATGTTACAGGTTTTAATAAATATGCCAGTGTAAATAACAGTATATAACAAATAAAAACTAAATAAAGTGATTAATTGTATCAATCACTACTTGAATGTACATATCAGCAAATTGTCCCTAATGAAAATGCTACTTTCTGAAACGTTCTTCAGATTAAAAATTAATGCTAATTTCATAAACTTTCTACCTCATGTCTAAAAGCATGTGTACGTATATATCTAAAGTCAGTGCCAATGCCTTTAAGGTAAAAGAAAAGTGAAGTGAAGACGGAATAAAAAAAAGTACGTCAAAGTTAGGAGAGAATATTGAACTCTTTATATAGAGTAGAGTGCCCAATTAGATTCTAGCATAGCCAAGTTTGATTTTTTTCATTAAACTTTTGATATCACTAAAAAGAAATTAAACCAAACGTAAAAATTAACAGTGACAAACTCAAGTTACTCAACAGAACTAGAAGATGTTTAAAGAACTCAAACCGATGACTTAATATTTTAGGAACAATACAGTAAATTACAAATATCTTTCAAGAACAATTTATCAATTTGATAAGGATAAGATAAATTAAATGGTAAATGATTATGGGAAAATGGCAGAGAAATGCACACGCATATTCATCAAATGAATTATTGTAATACTCCAACAATTACCTACTCCTCTTACTGAATTCATGTTTCCATCCTTCTTATAACACTAAACACAAACTGTTGCTTCACATGCACTCATGTGGACCTGTCTATTATATAACTCTTATTTCTTTCTTTCTTATTATTTGTTGTTTTTAGAAAAGAGAACATACGGATCCGTAGTTAAATTTTTCATTTGCTTATCACCCTTTCGATCGCTGGATAAATGGCTTAAATTCTACGATTACTCACTTATGTAATTCATAATTGGTAGATAATTTTTATAATTGGTAGAACACACTTTCTGTTTTGAATTTTACCCAATATATACCCTCATAAAAGATCTTAGGAAAAGAGAAAAAAAAGATGGTCTACAATATAAATATTGAATAATAATCAATAATTACCTAAAAGAACATTGGATGGTTTATAGGAGATGTATAGAGTTATAGACTATAGGTCATCATAAATAAATAAAAACACTTACAAGAGTCAAGAGGTCGAAGGCTTAATGGGATGCATGTGGATCATCACCTTAATGACTTACTTTACTATTAATTTTTGTATTATTAGAAAGAGAGAAACCTAATCCCACAACAAATAAGTACATTAAACTCTTTGCAAATGGTTTTTTGTGGGTTTTATTATTAACAGCAGTACTAATTAATTTAACAAGTATGTATGCTGACGAATCGTCACATGGCCATGGGATGGGATTCGTTATGGCATCACAGACTCGAGAGTCCAGCTTTTCTTTACGATCTGCACACATGTGCCACGTGTGCTTCATGCTCAATCTCGAGTCAGCGTTAAAGATTCTGAGCCAGCAAGAGTCTTTCTCCCGTTAAAGCCAAAATGGGCTTATTATAAACATGTTGAAACTTATTGGGCCTAAAGTTAAAAGCCCATAAGTTGAGACGATGACGGTAAACAACAAATGAAGGAACGGCTTTGGTAGTGACACGTCACGATTCTCCCGCCACCACACCAGAGCTTTTGCTTCATCTCCTTCTTCCTCTACTCTCTCTCTGTGTGTCTCTAATCTCACACAGACAACACAGAGATGGCTTGTGTTCGGTCGATTGGTTCTCTAACTTCTGTCACTCATTCTCCACGAAATGTTCCTCGCTCAGGTACGCGAAAACCCCCCCTAATTTCGCCTTTTGAATCTTTGAATTAGTAGTTGAATCTTCGTGTTGCATGTAGCTTAATTATGGAAAATTTCCTGTAATTTTCGGTATAATGCTGATTCCGAAACTGTAACGACTAATAATCTGGCGCTACATCGAGTCTCGTATCGGATTTGACGAACGAGTGGTTTAGGTAGTAACTTGATGTAATCTGATCATGGTTTCATAGTAAATGTAGATTAGGGTTCATATTTCAATTGAAATGGAAAAAAGATTGGATTTTACATAAATCGGTATCAATTAACTTCAAGTGTGTAATTAAGAACCATGGTTTGATTGATCCTTTTTATTTGCAGGCATTGTCTTATCTTCATGCTCTGTTCTTCCCATCAAAGGCTCCTCTTTCACTGGCTCCCCTGTTTCTCTCCTGCGGGCTCAACCCTCATCCCGAACAGCTCTAAGACCGAGGAAACCCGTCTCTATCACGTTGATGGTAAAACCGACGCTCCAATTCATTCAAGGGACGGATGAGATGACCATCCCTGATGTTAAGCTGACTCGGTCAAGAGACGGATCTAACGGAATGGCACTCTTCTCTTTTGATCAGCCATCGGTTTTCGACTCGAGCGGTGAAGTCGGGGAGATTACAGGATTGTACATGATCGATGAGGAAGGTGTGATTCAGTCCACGGATGTAAACGCGAGATTCGTGAATGGGAAACCGGAAGGGATTGTGGCGAAACACATTATGCGAAGTCCGAAAGAATGGGACAGGTTCATGAGGTTTATGGAGCGATACTCAGACCAGAATGGCTTGCAGTTTGTTAAGAAGCAATGAGGTGGGAGACACAATTAGCAAAAAACATGTGTATGTTACATTAAATTTTTTCACTCTTTTGATTTATAATCTTTTACTCTCCTAGTTTTGATCTTTACTTAAGTATCAACTTACAATGGTAGAGTTCGTTTAATCATTCAGGATTTTGTTCTGATTAAGTTTGATTTAAACTAGACAAATCCTCAGGACTACGAGAAAGTGAGAATTAAGACGATGAGTTTCTTATGAGATCAATATATATTTCTTCTTCTGCTCTTCTAAGATCAATCTACATGTCTCGATCAGCTCTTCCACCTTCCAACTCAAGGATATCTCCTTTTCAATAAAAGAACACCATAAACCTAAGTCAACCAATAATTTAACAAGTGACCAAAATCACTATAATAATTATCACGTTAGTTTTACAATCTGTGACAATTTTGCAACCACTTACCAACATATTTATATGCTATATCCAATGTTCAAAAAATCGTCTAGACGTTAGAACATTATTTACTTATTTTAAAAATATTTTTCATAATTTTATAACTAAATATTGGTTATAAAATATGAAATGTTAAAAACTTACCTATTCGAACTTATTATATATGTTCACACCTAGTTTATATAAAAACTAAAATAGCTTGCTCCCAATAACTAAATTGTTTGAGAATAGTTAATTCAATTTACAATTTTAGTAATAAGTATTTTCTTTTTGTTTGTTGCTTTATTTTGTTTACTTATCCAAAACAATGTCATATTAAAAAAAAAAAAAAAAAAACAGACACTAAATCGGCTAATTTGACCAATTTGTACTGATTTTGAACGCATAAACCAATCGCTATTGAGACTGCTCTTTTTATTTTGGTTGGAAAATGAATTAATTATATACTTTTACGTTAGGATCACTTGCTATTTATTTTAAAAAGAACTATCATTTGTTAGTTAATATAACATAGGCAACCGAATAAAACATGCGTTAAATAAAAAATACAAAATTATGATGATAATATGCTAGTGACTATTATTTGTGTCATAACATTCAGCGCACGGAAATACTTATTAATAGAAGATGATGGAGCTTCTTGCTCATATCTGTTCACAGATTGGCGTTGAAGGTATGAGAGGTATAGAAGTCCGACCTTTGGCGGGTGGAGGCCGCTTTGAGATTGTTAGGCGGGGACTCACATTCGCGTTACCAGAGGCAAGCTCATCAAGACAAGTCTTTGGAATCGCAGAGCCAATCATCGGTCGTCAGAATTAGCGAAATATATAGCTCATCAAGATATGATATTTTTTTGTCTCGTTGACCCATATGCTACTTGACATTGTGATGTTTTTTCTAAAATCTCAATAAATGTTGTTTGACTTTGAGGTTATAGGCTGTATTAAAGCTATTCCTACACTAAGATTTGGATTGTTACAAACTTGTGTTGATAATATGCTAGTGACTATTATTTGTTTCTTAACATTCAGCGGAAATATTTATCCAAACAACTATTGATTGATGTGTTAGTAAATTAAACAAAAAAAAAAAAAGATCATCATCATCCACAACTAAAAAAACCAATCAAGAAATTGCATCGTAATTAGCATAAGTTCTTACAACAGATCAGTGTAGATAAATTAAAGACTTGTTCTAAATGTAGAACAGTCGTCGGAAAGAAGAAGAAAAAGAACACTAAAAACCATCAAAGTGGAGGGGCTGTGGGTTATTGGAAGCCTTTCAACTCTAGTGCTTGTCTTGCCTTATGTCTGTAGCTTGACTTAGTTGCGCCACAGTATCTCGAGATTATAAATTTTAACGGAAAAAAAAAAGTTTCATCTAAACAAGCTTAAAGAATTGTGAATGATTCCATGGTGAATTTTGTAAATTGTAGACTAATTTTAACGAAAAAAAAATACTCTACTAAAGCTGCTTCTAATCCTTATAATATAATGATCTCATTGTGAATTTTGCTACTATATATAGTCTCGTAATTAACCGTTTTATATTATAGGTGTTCAATCGTTTGACCAATACCGTGTAAAATTGAATAGAAACCGAAACTAAACCGAACTTGAGCATATCCCGGTTTGATTTGATTACTACATGACATTACTATATATAGGCCAAGAGTCGTTAGGAGTGATGTTTATTATGGAGAGAAACAGATCAAAGAATCGTTCCCTTTGATCATGGCAGCGACGTTAATCTCTTCTTTGGCCGTTCTCTTACCGTTAACGTTACTAGCTCCGTCAATTTCCATGAAAATCTCTCGAATCGACGTCATCGGTTGGATTTGTAACAACGGCACCGTCTCTCACGAGGAGGCTTACCGGAGATCTTATCAGATTAACCTCGACGCGATCAGAGATGATATGAGGCATGTCAAGTTTGGAACTCATGAACACGGAGATCCTCCGCAGAGAATGTACGTTTTGTCGCAGTGTGTTAGCGATCTCTCATCCGACGAATGCAGTTTATGTTGGTCACGTGCTACCGATCTCCTCTCTCAATGTTTTCCGGCCACCGGTGGTTGGTTTCACCTTGACGGTTGTTTCGTTAGAGCTGATAATTACAGCTTCTATCAAGAACCTGTTTCTCATCAGGACACCAAGGTAAATTAGATATGGTTAGGTTTTGTTAGAAATCTCGTATCGAATAATATATATATAAGTGACATTTAACATATTTTGATCAATTGATAAAATCCATGGATCAGTTCCGCACACACTTGTCTAATACAAAACTTAGACCTAGGATTTAGTGTGGCTTTTGGCTTAGAAATCCGATTTTGAAGAAAATTTAACTAAATTATCCGAATATGTCGACCATTTTTGGGAATGTAGATATGTGCTAGTGACAAGGAGAAGTCTGCAGAATTGAAAGGTTTAGTAAAGGAAGTGACCAAATCCATTGTTGAGACGGCTCCATATAGTCAAGGTTTCTCGGTGGCTAAAATGGGAACCCGTGGTTTAACGGTTTACGGGTTGGGAATATGCTGGCGAACGCTAGATGATGAGTTGTGCAAATTATGCTTAGCAGATGGAGCTTTATCGGTCTCTAGCTGTGTACCATCCAAAGAAGGTTTTGCCTTGAATGCAGGCTGCTACTTGCGTTACTCTAACTATACCTTTTATAACGAACGTGGATTGCTTTCTATGAGTATGTCTCTGTCTCCTAACTCTTGTGTGATTCTTCAAATTGTGTGATTCAGTCCTTTAAATGATCTTAACTTTTGTTTTGTTCTATTCTTGTAGATTTAACAAAAGAAAATTTTGTGCATATATTCGTTCTTTCTATGGTGGGTGTGTTGGCTATTGCAGCTGGATTTTGGTGTGGAAAATGCATCTATATACGAACTAGTCCAAAGAAGAAGCTTAAAGGTAAGTTCCTTGTGTGGAACTAATTAAGACTATATTGTGCCAAAGGTAATTTAGCTCATACATGAACTAAGATTAAAAAGTCTCACTTGTTTGGACATCTAAGGATAGAGAAGGAGTCAGAGTCTATATGTAATGACTCACACTTGATGAGCTTTGAGTATTCAACTCTTAAAAAAGCAACCAACAACTTCAATGAGAGTTGCAAGCTTGGTGTTGGTGGATATGGGGAAGTCTTCAAGGTTTCTCTCTTCTCTATGTAACTATCTTTCTCTACATCTTACTACAATTTGAATTGACTACAAAGCCTTTTTTATTATATCTTTGACAGGGAACTCTGTCTGACGGTAGAGAAATTGCGATTAAACGGCTGCATATAACAGGAAAGAAGCCACGGGACGAGATCCATAATGAAATAGATGTAATTAGTAGATGCCAACACAAGAACTTGGTTAGGCTCTTAGGTTGCTGCTTCACTAACATGAATAGTTTCATTGTTTATGAGTTCCTCGCCAACACAAGCCTAGATCAAGTCTTATTCAGTAAGATCTCTTCACCGAATCACGCATGTTTAGACAATGCATATTTCTTAAAGTTTCTTAAATTTTTTGCTTGACATGCAAGTGAAGACCCCGAGAAGAAGAAAGAGCTCGACTGGAAGAAGAGGCGGACAATAATCTTAGGAACAGCTGAAGGTTTAGAATATCTTCACGAAACGTGCAAGATCATTCACAGAGATATCAAAGCAAGCAACATTCTGTTAGACTTAAAGTACAAACCCAAAATTTCAGATTTTGGATTAGCCAAGTTTTATCCAGAAGGTGGCAAAGACATCCCTGCTCCTTCTCCTTCTCCTTCTTCAATCGCGGGCACTCTGTAAGTCCTTTCAACACAAAGACTTTATTAGAGGTCCTTATTATTGTTTATGATTTAGAACGTGAAATGGAATAAGTGCATTGTTTACAGAGGATATATGGCTCCTGAATACATTAGCAAGGGAAGACTAAGCAATAAAATCGATGCTTATAGCTTCGGAGTCCTTGTTCTCGAGATAACCAGCGGTTTTCGAAACAACAAATTCCGCTCTGATAACTCCCTTGAAACCTTAGTCACTCAAGTGAGTCTCCATCTTCATCACATCAATCTTTAACTCCTTAGCTCTGATTTACCTTCATAACCCATTTTCTAACCTCTTAATTTCTTGAACAGGTTTGGAAATGTTTTGCTTCAGACAAGATGGAGGAGATGATAGACAAAGATATGGGAGAAGAAACAGATAAGAGAGAAGTGAAGAGAGTACTGCAGATTGGTTTGTTGTGTACACAAGAGTCTCCACAGCTTCGTCCAACGATGTCTAAGGTTATACAAATGGTTAGTTCCACAGATATTGTATTGCCCACTCCTACTAAACCACCTTTCCTTCATGATTCCATGTAAAAATTCATGTATAATTTATATAGATCCCTCACTACCTTATTGTTAATAACATGTTACAAGAGAAAACAAGACAACAACAAATAATCATTGTGTATTTTCGTAAAATAACTATTAAAAATTATGTTTATTTTTCTTCTAGTTATGTAGGTAGATTAAAAACATACATTTTGAAATTTTGTCCCAATATTAATCAGATGAACAAGTATACATTTAGGAGAATACACCTATCTATGCTTATATATGATTAATCACAAAATATGATACAATGTGATAAAATAAATGAATGAGATAAGACTGGTATGATGAATGTATCATTGTCTGATAAGTTAGTGCTTTGTGTTGTTATTTGTGGAAGATTTGTACCGTTCCAACCGTCCATCACTTTTTTTGAGAAAAATGTGTTGAAAGGGCAATTTTCAAATTTGTAATTTGCCACTTATAAATAATTTCTTTGATTTGATTTGTCAATTAGGTAGTTCTTACTTCTTACTACATTGATGACATGCACTTTAATTTAGCTGTCATTTTAGAGAAGAAATTACAAAAAGTTATCATTGTACAATGTTTTAAGTTGGTGGTGAACACAGAACAGTTTACATCAACGGTGACGATGAAAAGTGTAACAGTGAATAGAGAATAATATACTGTTAACACATGATAGTGTAAAGTGAACATTTGTATAACGAACAAGTGTGTGGTGACCGTGGATGATGGTAAACAATATACTATCACCAGTGTAAAGACATTGTTGTATTAATGTGACCCATGTGACGAAGGAATGTAAAAATATGACTCATACTGACAAAAATTAAAATCATACATCATCACTTTGGCTTAATCTGTTGGCTAATCATACTAGTATATGAATAAATAACCTTAAATTGAAAAAAGAAGAAGAAAATATCGAAAAAGAATTACGAGAATGTAACAAAAGTCCAAAATGTAGATGCACACATGTGTTACATGTTCTATAAAATTTAATTTGTGGTGTATCATTTATGAATAAAATCATAAATAGAAAAACAAGAAAATATCTAAGGAAAAAAATTTGTATTGCTAAAGTCAAAAATAGATGTACGCATGTGTTATTCGAGTATCCCAATTCTTTCGAAGGTATTAATATTTTATATTTATGATAAAATTTACAGCTATTATGATAGAGAGTGACTTATTATACTACTATAAAAACCCTCAAACTTTAGACCATTGAGTCATGCAATTCACAAATTCTTCTTTAATAACATACATACATACACATTCATACAACAGCTGCCACTAGCTACCTTTCGAGATGTAAGCATCTCCTCTAATCTCTACCTTTTTCATTATAAAATTAAAATATTTATAAAAGTTATACATCATCATCTTTCATAATGTGTTACAAATCTAATATTATAATAAAAAAACGAAAAATGTTTTAAACCCAACATATGCATGACAGGGAATTTGGTAACGGCAACGGCTACAGCAACGGCAACGGCTACACCAACGGCAACAGCTACACCAACGGCAACGGCTACACCAACGGCAACGGCTACAGCAACGGCAATGGCAACGTTAATGGAAACGGAGAAGCTAACGGAGCGAAGGTGATAAAGATGAAACCAATGGACAGTGAGTTGCTGAGAGAGCAAGGTCACATAATGGTTGATTTTATTGCTGATTACTACAAAAATCTTCAAGACTCGCCTCAAGATTTTCCTGTTCTTTCCCAAGTTCAGGTTTCTTATCTTCTCAACTTTTCACTACAATGTATATAAATGTAACCAGTCATTATTTGTGTGTGTATACATATTTAGAGTATTTTTTACTATATAACAAAAATTTGGTTATTTGTCGTAGCCTGGTTATCTTCGTGACATGTTGCCTGATTCAGCACCTGACCAACCTGAATCGTTGAAAGAACTTCTCGATGGTACGTGAAATATTTTTTATTTTAAAGCAAAATTTGTAACATGAACTTGCAAAACAATTTATATATATGTTAATTAAATGCGATTTATAATTTATAGACGTTTCGAAGAAGATAATGCCGGGGATAACTCATTGGCAAAGCCCGAGTTACTTTGCGTACTATGCATCAAGCACCAGTGTGGCCGGATTCTTGGGAGAGATGCTCAACGCCGGCCTGAGCGTCGTCGGTTTCACTTGGCTCACTTCTCCTGCCGCTACTGAGCTGGAAATCATCGTTCTTGATTGGCTTGCAAAATTGCTACAACTCCCTGACCATTTTCTCTCGACAGGTTCTTCCTTAATCTCATCTCATTCTTCTAAAAATTGAAAGAGTCCACTAACACATCAGTCGAGTTTTATGAACTAAAGAATAAAGAAAACTTGACGGCGGTTTAAAATTAAGTCATTTGATTTAAATAACTCCAATCTTACTATTTTCGTAAGAGAACAAAAAATTGATTAGTAGAAACTTTTCTTTAAAGTGTTATGTTTTATAGCAAAATATTGTAGTACATTTTTACATATTTCCTGCCGCCCAATTATAAATTCACCAGTCGAAACCATAATACAAATAATAATGGACTAATTAATCTTATAGTGTGTTTCATCACCGTATTATTACAATGAGATAGATTTGTATAACCCTAAAATCTACGACTAGTCTATACTTAGAGACCCAACAACAAGGTGGAGATTTTCTCGGATTCCTAAATCCTCATCTCCTCTTTTAATTCAAAAGCAAGCACAAAAGAGCTCAAAGCTATCCCACCATCATTTGTTTAAGTGAATGTTTTTCCTCAATCACTTTTTAGACAATGTTGTAGATGATTATATCGCTAAATCTGCACTTATTGCAGCAAACTGTGCTTCCATCAATGGAGTGTAACTCTCTTTATCTAATTCAAGTCAAGCGACCCAACGTTTCTATGACCATACGTACATATATGACAAAAACTTTATTACGGTACATGGCAATTATATCAAATGAATAGAACATGCAATTGGGACCATATAGGAGTAATAAGGCTGTCCAAAAAAAGGAAGAAATAATGTAGTAACAAACAAAAAAACCGAGCATTTAATTCTATGATTTAACATAAATGAATTATTAAAAAAGGAAATGGAGGAGGAGTGATCCAAGGGACAGGATGTGAAGCAGTGCTTGTGGTAGTGTTAGCTGCTAGAGACAGGATTTTGAAGAAAGTTGGCAAAACATTACTTCCTCAACTTGTTGCCTATGCCTCTGACCAAACCCATTCTAGTTTCCGAAAGGCTTGTCTGGTTGGTATATAGTATCTAGTTTACTTTTAGTTTAAATATCAATTCACAGGTTAATAATCAATCATGTTAACTGTGATGATGTTTATAGATTGGTGGAATACATGAAGAAAACATTAGGCTGCTCAAAACTGATTCTTCCACGAACTATGGAATGCCTCCAGAATCACTTGAAGAAGCTATTTCTCATGATCTCGCTGAGGGTTTTATCCCTTTCTTCATTTGTGCTACTGTAATTACTTAAACCCCACATTTTTTCCTTTACTCGGACTAAAAACCCACATTTATGTGTTCAATATAAATTTCTTACACACATATATATACTAAATAATTGAGAAATTCTAGTTTTTTTTGTTTTTTATTATTGTTACCAATGCTAGTTATAGATTGTGTCTTCATAATTATTTCGTCCATTGCTAAATATGCAAGTGTGTGGTTTTCAGGTTGGCACAACGTCTTCAGCGGCGGTTGATCCTTTGGTCCCATTGGGGAAAATTGCAAAGGTAATTAAACATATATCATAATAATTAGTTAACTAATTTGTGGACTGCATCAACCAAGCTTTTAACCAACTTTATCCACCGCATTGATCACACTGTTTCAACAACTGCAATTATGAGACATTTGAATCTTAACTAAATAAATTTAATTCGGTTAAATAAAAAATTGTATGTGGTTTAAGACTATGTACAATATTTGAAAAAAAACATGTATCTTGTGTAGAAATACGGGATATGGATGCACGTAGATGCAGCTTATGCAGGGAATGCGTGTATATGTCCAGAATATCGAAAATTTATTGACGGGATTGAAAACGCAGACTCCTTTAACATGAATGCTCATAAATGGTTATTTGCTAATCAAACTTGTTCACCTCTTTGGGTTAAGGTATGTTTTATCTCATTTTCCATTTTTCCTTGATTTATTGTTCTATTTAGTCAATCTATATTCATTGTAATTTTTGTATTGTTTTGTGTATATTGGAATCAATCAGGATCGATACTCTCTCATCGACGCTCTCAAAACAAATCCCGAGTATCTAGAATTCAAGGTCAAGCTCTCATGTTCATCATTTTATTACAAACATAAAAGAACCATCTTTCTATATTGAAGATCTAATGAAGCGTTATCATATACATGTAGATATATAACTAAAATGACATAAGAAACTAACAAGTTGTACTAAGAACTTTATTCAATGGATATATTAGCTTATCATTCATGAAAATATTAAAATCGTTAACAATGTATATTTTAAGACGGTGAAAAATGTTGTATGAGATGATCATATATTTGATTCAATGGATATATCAGGTTTCTAAGAAAGATGCGGTCGTGAATTATAAAGATTGGCAAATTTCTCTCTCTCGGAGATTCAGGTTCTTCATATACGTCCATTTGATGTTGTATTTGTTGGTCCTAGCTAGAAGTCTAATAAACTTATATGTACATGTTATTCACGAATTTGATTTATACAGATCGTTGAAGTTATGGATGGTTTTACGGCTCTATGGTTCAGAGAACTTGAGAAATTTTATAAGAGACCACGTCAATCTCGCTAAGCATTTTGAAGATTATGTAGCTCAAGATCCACATTTTGAGGTAATATAAACATGTGAAAAAAGTTTCAGAACATCAATAATACGTCACATTTATTCTATAACCAAGTCTAATCAGTAAAAAAACCTAGATGAATTTCTTTAATTTATTTAAAAAAACGAATGTTTATTTTTTTTGTTTCTTATATATACATGTAAAGGTTGTCACTACTCGATACTTTTCACTCGTTTGCTTTCGCCTTGTGCCTGTTGACGGCGACGAAGAGAAGTGTAACGAACGGAACCGTGAACTGCTCGCCGCCGTTAACTCCACCGGCAAGATCTTCATCTCTCACACGGTGAGTTGTTGTATAAAAGGAAATAATGAATGTTTGGTTTGAGTGATTAGAGGAGATAGGATTTATTTCAAAGAAAAATGAAATTTAACTACGCATTATTATTAACAGGCTCTATCGGATAAATTCATTTTACGATTTGCTGTTGGTGCACCGTTAACGGAGGAGAAGCATGTCACTGAAGCATGGCAGATCATACAGAAACATTCCTCCAAATTTACCTGCAACGGCCATTATTAAGAATATATCAAAAGAAACCCACTATCTTTTTATTTCGCTCAATAAAGTCCTCTATCTTCAACGATTTCCGATGGAAGGGCCATTTTTATAATATTTGTTGAATTTGGATTAATAAAAATTGTCTTTACTTTTCATGTGTGGACAATCATTCGATATCACCACTATATATTGAGAGGTACGAAATTATCGGGATTGGGTATGAGATTAGTTTATTGGATTTGGGCCTGGCCTTATTGTTAATTATTAAATTAATTGACATATTTACCCTCATCATCAAATACACATTTTTTGATTCCTATCTTTTTCAATTCAAAACCCTAATTCGAGTTTTCTATTATCTGCCTGCTAAGTCAATGATTCTCACTAAATCAAGCTTTTCCTGGAAAATCTGAAGCGAAAATCTTTCTTTGTTTGATGTGTTCTCTCTTATGAGACATGCATTCTGAATTTCGACTGGATTTTATTTGCGAAACTTTGTCCGAATTCCGATGACTTCGATGAATCATATCGTTGTAGATGTCAGTTCGGACGAAGACGATGAAAAACCAGTAGATTACTCTTATTTGTTTGACGAAATTCTGGGAATTTCCGATGAGAAGAAACCCATCAAAAGTACTGATTTGTTGAATCCAACGGTGGACGACGACGACGATTGTGTGATTTTGGATTGTGATCCTACGGCGAAGGAGACTGCGATTGAAACTTGTGGAACTGATGAAGTTCTTGTAGTTGGGCAAAAGGGTGAGGTAAAATTTTGATCTTTTTTTATTTCTTTCAAAATTATTCCCAATTGTTACTAATTTACTCAAAGTTTGGAACTTTATGCCCTAACTTTGAATTTCATCAAGTTTGAGAATTGTCTACTTCAGAGTAAATTGTGTTTATATATGCAGCCACTTAGTATAGGATTTGATTCTTCAAAGTGAAGTTTTTTTTTCCAAGTTTATAGAATTGGTATTGCTCTGTTTCAATCTTTACACAGTTTGTTGTAGGAATATGTCTAAGTAAGTTATTTTTGGTTTTGTAGATAGCTTGTAGGGATTTTCCGCATCCGCGACATGTTTGCGCTAAGTACCCGTTCAAATCCACATTACACCAGACGTTCTGTGAGATGGTAAGAATGTGACGTTGTTTCTTTCTTCCTTTTTTTGAATCTTTTGAAGTGATGATGCTTTTCTTGCTAATGACCTTTCTTTGTTTCGCTTTTCTGTTTGTTTACAGTGTCACTGTTATGTTTGTGACACTCGTGCTCCGTGTCCTTACTGGTTTAGTGGTGGGATCTCCAACATTGATCACTGTCATGCCAATGATAAAGAGCAGACATGGAAGAATCAACGGGAATGCATCAGGACCAGAAATATGCTACCTCGACCTGTTTCGAAACCTGCCTCCACCAAATTACAATTTAAACGGGCTCCACGGCGTCGATCTGTTCCTGTACCTGTTCCGTCGCTCAAAAACTCGTCTTCCCCTGGAACACAGTTTGGAATCCGGGCTTGCTCCACGGCTTCTAGGCTTGCAACTCACCGAAAAACATACACCAGACCAGGTAATAGAACCGAGCAATCAAGAACCCTCCAGCAAAATCCCGGGTTAAAACCTCAGGCTGTGCAGTCATTACCAAATCACAAAGGCGGCTCTAATAATGGTAATCCAAGTCCTCAAGCTGTCCCTTCCAATCCATACGTATGGACTCGAAGACCAAGTAAAGGTGTTTATCCTCCGGAAAACAGTGTACAGAACATTTCTCAAGGCTCACAACCTACCCATTATGCTCCTCCCATGGCTTCACAAGGCGCACAACCTACCCTTTATGCTCCTCCCATGGCTTCACAAGGCTCACAACCTACCCGCTATGCTCATCCCGTGGCTTCACAAGGCAATGCACAGCGGATCGTTACTAGTTATATCTCAACTGTGCCGGTATCTCAGAGCAAAGAGTACGCAAAACAGTTTAGCCGGAATATGTATTCTGCTAATGTTCAGACGAGTGCAGTTCCGGCTATAACTCCTAATCCTCCGGCAAACCAGCAACAACAACATCAACAATCAGGAAGAAGTAAAGATAAAGTATTGTCCGAGTTTGAAGCCTGGCTCTTGGACGACTCAACTTTGTCTTGTCCCTTGTCTGGTGAAGACAATACCGCTTCTACATTCAAGATCGATTTCCAAACCTTCTTGAATGATTGAAACGTTAGGATAGTCATAGTCTTGATTTCTTAACTTAATTGTAGACTTCAGCTGTACAGAGTAGTATTAGTCAAGAGTTTCTTGTTAGCAAGAGTCTACAAAACATTTTTTGTTAGTGATAATATTTTTGAAATTTTGATGAAATTTTTTTGTTAGTTGCAGATTGTTGTGATTAGTAGAATGAGATAATATTTTTGTGTTTCACACAACTTAGTTAAATTCCCCCTCGCTTAAATTTAAATTCTATTAAAATTCTTTGTTTAGTTCTTTTGGATTTTCTAATTTATAACCAGATTAAAATTTGTCACAAATTAATTCAATGGTATTTAGTATTTACTACTTACCAATCAGAATTCATCAGTGTTCTAAAAAGCGGTCTAGACGGTCGCCTAGGCCCCGACTAGGCGCTAGGCTCTCATGCGACGCCTAGATAACCGCCTTGACCGCCTAAAATTACATAGAACTTGTTTAATGTATTTTTTCAATTTCAATTAGAGTTTTATTTATATATATAGTTATAAATATTCATATATTGTTTAATATAAATATAAATAAATGTTTTATTTAGTTTTTGTTTATAATTTCATAATTTTTAGTTTTATATAAATATTTTATATAACTTTTATATATAATATCATATTTATAATGTTTTATGTTATAAACGTCTAAACCGCCTAAAAATCGCCTAGGCTCCGATTAGGCGTTCTAGGCGCTAGGCACTGGGTCACCGCCCGCTTAGCGCCTAGCGCTTTCTTGAACACTGGAATTCATCCATTGAAAGAAAGTAAATTAACCTTTTTTTGAGTAGTCAAAGATATATTTGTTCCCAAAAAAAAAACTATTAGAAATAGGAAAATAAAAATAGTCCACACATTTTTTAATGTTTGGGCAACTATAGTCCACACATTACAAAACGTATTTTTGGGAAATTTGAAAATTAATTACTTCGGAAAAGAGCAGTAATATATTGTTAAGTACGTTTTATTGGTTGGTTAGCCGTTGCCCGTTATGAGGAAGAAAAGTCAAAGTAAACACCAACAATTGAGGAATAAAACTGTTACAGAATCTTAAATTTTATAGTAATATCATTATTATTACTATAGAGAAAAATGAAAATAGAATCTGAAAGATTCAAAATTCTCCAATTAAAGATTCAACAGAATCTCGTGAATCTCTCTACCTTCCTCCTCTATAAACTCTAATCTCTCTCTCTCTCTCTCTCAATCCTCTTGTAACAATGGCGACGAGTCTCTCTTGCTCTGCCTCTGATCTGATTCCTCTACTATCCGGCGGAGCCAATGCCACCGCCGCAGCCGCTGCCGCTGAATTCATCTGCGGGAGATTCGACACAGTCGCCGGGAAATTCACCGACGCGGCTTACGCAATCGACAACACTTACCTTCTCTTCTCCGCTTACCTCGTTTTCGCGATGCAGCTAGGATTCGCCATGCTCTGTGCCGGATCTGTACGTGCTAAAAACACGATGAACATTATGCTCACCAACGTCATCGACGCTGCAGCCGGAGGTCTCTTCTATTACCTCTTCGGTTTCGCTTTCGCTTTTGGATCTCCTTCTAATGGATTCATCGGAAAACATTTCTTTGGAATGTATGATTTTCCTAAACCTACGTTTGATTATCCTTATTTTCTATATCAATGGACTTTCGCTATCGCCGCCGCCGGAATCACCAGTGGTTCGATCGCGGAGAGGACTCAGTTCGTGGCGTATTTGATCTACTCTGCTTTCCTCACGGGTCTTGTTTACCCGATTGTGTCGCATTGGTTTTGGTCTTCTGATGGTTGGGCTTCTCCGGCTAGATCTGAGAACCTTCTGTTTCAATCAGGTGTGATTGATTTCGCTGGCTCTGGTGTTGTTCATATGGTTGGAGGTATTGCTGGTTTATGGGGAGCTTTAATTGAAGGACCAAGAATTGGTCGGTTTGGAGATGGGGGTAAACCGGTTACGTTGCGTGGTCATAGTGCTACGTTGGTTGTTCTTGGAACGTTTTTGTTATGGTTCGGATGGTACGGGTTTAACCCTGGATCGTTCGCAACCATTTTTAAGTCGTATGGAGAGACTCCGGGGAACTCGTTTTACGGACAGTGGAGCGCGGTTGGAAGAACCGCGGTTACAACCACGTTAGCTGGTTGCACGGCGGCGCTAACGACTCTGTTTGGGAAAAGACTTATTGATGGGTATTGGAATGTAACTGATGTTTGTAATGGTTTGTTAGGCGGATTCGCGGCTATAACTAGCGGATGTTCGGTTGTAGAACCGTGGGCCGCGCTTATATGCGGGTTTGTAGCCGCATGGGTGTTGATGGGATTCAATAGACTAGCTGAAAAGCTCCAATTCGACGATCCGTTGGAAGCGGCTCAGCTTCACGGCGGTTGCGGCGCGTGGGGGATTATTTTCACCGGGTTGTTCGCGGAGAAACGATACATTGCTGAGATCTTTGGAGGGGACCCGAACAGGCCTTACGGGTTGCTAATGGGAGGAGGAGGTAGGTTGCTTGCGGCGCACGTCGTTCAGATTTTGGTGATTACGGGATGGGTTAGTGTGACAATGGGGACTCTATTTTATATTTTGCATAAGCTGAAACTGTTGAGGATACCGGCGGAGGATGAGATCGCCGGGGTGGATCCGACGAGTCATGGAGGGTTGGCTTATATGTACACAGAAGATGAGATCAGGAATGGGATCATGGTTAGGAGGGTGGGCGGTGATAATGCTCAAGGAAATGTACGTGTTTGATTTGTTTGGTTTCAATACTATTTCTTAGCTTTTGTGTGATCTTTTTCTAGTTGTTGGTTTGGTGTGTATATATATTTCATTAAGTTGTTCGTTGCATGGGAATAAAAGATATTAGTTTCGCTGTATATTTCTCTCTTGACTATATATTTCCTCGCCAAAAAATTAGGGCAAGTCCTCAAACATTTGAAAATTTCAAATACAAATGAAATCATGTGAAACAATCGGAGGAAGATAAGAACGAAAAACGTTGAAAACCATAGACAAATAATTCAGCTTCTTTTACATTTAACTAAGTTAATGGGCCTTTAAAATATAAAAATTAGGGGCCTAGGTGGTTGAGCCCAGGACCAATTCTAGTACTACTAGACAGTCTAGACTAGTTGTTAAAAGTTAGTTTTATTAGGCCTGGACAAATAAACCTAATCGAATGTATCAAACTAAAATCGAAGCAAAAAAAATTGAACTAAACTGAACTTAAAATTTGAAAAAATCGAATGGATACTAAATTCTATAACCAAATAAATTAAAACCAAATCGGTACTGAACCGAAATATTTCGGGTAACCAAAAATATTCGGAATACAATTATATTTTCAAAAATATTAGTTATTTTTAGATCAAATAATCAAAAATACTTGAAAAATAATAAAAATATTCGAAAATAACCGAAAATATTCAAAAATATTCGAAAATACCTAAAAATAACCGAAATATTCAAAGCAAAATAACCGAATTGATTCTAAATTTTAAAACCGAAAGAACCAGAACCGAATAAAATTTCAAAATACACGAATGGATATTAAATTTTAGAAGCGAAATAATCGAAACCTAATGGAACCGAACCGATAACTAATCGGATCACCGAACGCCCATGACTAAGTTTTATTATAGGATTTAGAAAGACATTATCAAATGGGGTAAAAATAAAAAGGTTTTCGATAATTGTGGTAGAAAGAACTAAATTCCCTTTTTTATATATTTAAAATTTCTTAAATAATTAATCTTTACTTTTAAAATAATTTAATTTTTGAAAAGAAAAGTACTAACTCAGACGTATTAAATATGCTGAAAATTGTGAATAATGAGAACATTTTGAGACACGTCCGAATGAGACGCAAGTACAAAGGACATGATTCATCATCCCATGCAAAAAAAGACGACAATCAAAAATGCAAAGTAAAAAACAAGCACTCACACGGGAATCAGAAAGAGATATATAAATCGCCAAAATATTAAGAATATATTGAAAAAAAAACGTGGAGAAAGGGATTAAACAAATTATGTAAAGATATAATTGCATGCATACATGCCCCATACTATTTATCAAAACTCAAACCAATCTTTTTTTTTTCTAAAAAAAATAGAAAACTCACATCAATCTTATATCCTAAATCTTCATTAGTGCTCTGAGAAATCTTTCATTCAGCTATTAAATTCTTCAGGATTCTAGACATGCATTTCTATTTTTTGTGAAACAAATTTAAGTTGTTTAAAATTGGTCTACGAAGTTTGTGGTTGAAATAGCGAGGATATTTGCAAATTTAAGTTGTGATTTTTGTAGGAAAATGATTATAATATTTGCAAATGTCCAATCCTCTCCACCTCACAATGCTAGTAAGATACTCAAACTTGTGCTCCAAACTTCAATTTACTTGATTTGGAAAGAGCGGAACCGTTGAGTCTTCTCCGTTGATTCAAGTACAATCTCGTCTACTAAGTCACTTGTTGATCGCACTATGCGCAACCGATTAATCTCCTTCTCGCCGGAGGATCCTTCAATCAGAATCTCTCTCCTTAGGTTTTATTTTGGTTGTATCAATAATCCACTTTAGTGTGGTTCAAGCTCAATTTTTTTTGATGTTCCATTGCTTTCTCTGTGTACACTTTTTTTATTTGGTATAAATCTTTACATTAAACCAAAAAAATAAAATATTTGCAAATGTACATCATCAGGTAAGAGACAAAAATCACAAAAGTGGGCTACAATATGACTTTGAGTATTAATGTCGGTATCTTCGAGAACCATTGATTCCCTTATCTAGTCAGATACTGCATCATTCATAACCCAGTCACATTATGCCACGTGATGGTCAAAATGGATTCTCAGTCAAACCTTTGACTCAGTGGATCCAAATACACATGCATGTCACTTAAATTATGATAACAAAATATGTGAAGAAGTTAAATTTATTTCCATATCTATAAGGTTAGATGCTCTTTTGTTGAAACAAAGTAAAATTTTTTTTATATAATCATCAGTCAACTAATAATAACATTTGAAACTATGGCAAGAGTATTATTAAACATTACTTATAATTATTATTATTAAATGGTGAAAAATTTGGCTTCTAATCTCCAAAATGGTGAAAATTTCATAGCCATTATTGGAGACATCTGGTTTTTCTTTTTGTTCTTTATTTTTTTCTCTAGTCAATATATAGAGATATTTTTCTCTTTCTTACTGCATCGATCCATCTCTTGACTGAATAAATACGTCAAAAGAAAGCCTTAACGATTACACACTCTCATACTTATCTCCTTTTTACGTTTCTCATTTCTCTCCTCTCTTTGAAAATAAAAACATTTGATTAGAAATAAAGGAGATCATAATAAATGGCAGATCAAAACCCAAGAATCATCGTCGAGAAAAACCCATCTCAAGCTCGTCTCGACGAACTAAAGTTCAAGTCATGGCCCAAGTAAGAATTGACTCTCTCTTTAATTTGTTTTAAATTCTTACTTGTGTGAGATCGATTTGGCAAAGTTGCATGAGATAGATTTAGGAAATTTTGTATCTTATGGAATCAAATTGGGATTTTGTTTTATTTGTTGTTGAAGGTGGGGATGTTCACCAGGGAAATACCATTTGAAATATGAAGCAGAAGAGATATGTTACATTGTGAGGGGTAAAGTTAAGGTTTACCCTAAACCACCATCATCATTATCATCATCATCGGATGCAGAAGTTGAATGGTGTGTAGAGTTTGGGGCAGGTGATATTGTCACTTTTCCAAAGGGACTTTCTTGTACTTGGGATGTTTCTCTCTCTGTTGACAAACACTACATTTTCCTCTCTTCTTAATTTTTGTGTACTTGTTTTTTTAATTCTTTTTTGTATTTCTAACATTGTGATTCGTATAAGTTGTTGCATTTAATTGGGTGTCCTTTTAGTTTTTTGTTTAGTAAGAAAATACTCTCTCCGTTTCATAAAAAGTGTCGTTTTAAGGTTTTATTTTTGTTTCACAAAGAGTGTCGTTTTAGGTTTTCAATGCAAAATTTAATGATTTTTTATGTTTTATGACTATTAGTATTCTGCAGATTGTTTTACTATTGGGCAGATTATGTTTAGGTATATAGTTAATGATGTTTTTGTTTAGAAAAAACAAAAAATTTAATGTTTTCTTAATCTGTGTGCAAAATTCTAAAATGACACTCTTTGTGAAACAGAGGGAGTATAGATGTGTGCATTAATAGTGGCATAATGAAACAATGTTTTCACAAATCAAGTTTGACTAAACCTCATCAATTCGAATAGTCCTGAGATGAATCTTCAGGGTAAAATGTCAGGGCATATAAAGCCTTCACCACTAGAACCCTAACATTTTCTATGATTGAAATTATATGAGTTATTATAAGTTGTTCAAATTAATATTTGGAAATTATGAAACCGTAAACGTTGGATTCTCTCAGTCAACAAGAGGTGATCTTTATTTGTCCCTTTATGCTTCTAATTAATAATACTATTAAATTTCCTGTCTTTTAGATCTGCTGACCTCAACTTTCCATATTGTTTACCTAGCTTTAGGCAAAGCATATCATATTTTAAGTTTTAATTTGAAGAGAAACTATATTGAATCATCATCATTCATCAATAAGCATATATTGTATAACAGAAAAAAATTATTCCCTAATCAATAATCATGTTCCCATTATCGAATGCTTTGACTGGTGTTATCATAGAGGATAAGAGGAGTAACCGAGTAATATATAAATAATAAAAATTACTAGAATGGAGAGAAATGGAAAAAAAAAAATACAGATGAAACAAATTTTCCCATTGTAAATTAACTGAAATCAAAGACACACGTCTGAACTTAGGTTAACGTAAAAGTAAAGATAATAAAATCCACCACTTTTTTTTTTCTTCAATTATTAGTGTGATGTCAGCAAGATTTAGTCATATACCCCAAATCAACATGACATCGTTGAATGGTGATATATCCATCAATAGCGTTTAAAGGCTTTAGAACATCATACTGTAAAAGTTTGCACCATTCACACGTTCAAATGTTATTTACTCCGTTGTTAAATTAATGCTGGTTAGCATTTAAAAAGCCAATCGTCAACATAAATGTAGCATTAATAGAATTTAACTTAATCAAGACATAACTATTAGTAATATGTTACTACCATTATCAAGTCCACTATCATAACTGTTTCAACATGTTACCATTCAAAATCAACATGTCACATAACATCATCAAAAGAGATGTGATCATGTGAGATAGACTTTTTTTTTTTTTTCCATTATCATGTGAGATAGACTTTGGACAAAATTTTGACAAAAGCCAGAAGAAAAATCAGTTAAATGCTTTCATAATAAGGAAAAAAAAAAAAAAAACGTTCCAAAAGCTTCTAACTCATGGAAAAGGTTTTGGTCCAAACAGATTGAACCGGCCGGTTTGATCAGATTTTAGCATCTGACTCTCACATCTCTCTCACTCGTTGACCAAAAAAAAACCCTCTCTCTCTCTCTGTCACTCAGAAATGCTCTGCTTCACTCATGTTCCACCTCTTCCTCTCTTCTCCACCTCCGGTATCTATCTTCCGGCCTCACGACGATTCACAAGGTCGCTTTCTCAGTTTCCGAGCATTGTATTCTCTGTTTACTTCAGCTCTTACTGACTTTCTGATAGCTTCTTCTCTCTTACTCTTATGATTCAGTTTCAGGACTAGAATGTCTTCTTCCTCCGTAGATTCTGTTCCTCCTCCGCCGGATAATGCCATCGTCGTGAGTTTTGTACCTCCTCCATGAATTGGGTTTTTGACTTGAATCACGCTTATAAGAGAATGACATTCTTCGTGTGATTTTTGGCAGCTTGGTTGTGGTGGCATCGCTGTAGATTTCTTAGCGACTGTGGATTCTTATCCTCAACCTGACGACAAGATCCGAAGCACTAGCCTAAAGGTTCGGTCTTTTCTGCTCCCACCTACCCGTCTTCTGCTTTGGTAGTGAATTTAGGGGTTTAGGTTTTTAGGAGTTGAGAATGTTTTCAGGTGCAAGGAGGTGGAAATGCTGCAAATGCGTTAACTTGTGCTGCTCGTTTGGGATTGAATTCGAGACTGATTAGTAAGGTCATTCATTGATTTCTCTTTTCTAAATCGAAAATTTGGGCATGAACAGATTCAACACTAGTGTGTAGTGTTGCTAATTGATTAGTAATGAAAATAATATATCTTTAGGTAGCGAACGACTCTCAAGGAAAGGGTATGTTGGAGGAGCTTGATGCTGATGGTGTGGATACTTCCTTTCTTGTGGTAATGCTCAACTTTAGGATCATTGTGTCGAGTCTTAGACTCTAAAGTTTGCAGTTTTGTCTTCAGTTTCCTAATCTTCACAGTAATTGATGTCTTTTTATCTCATTTCTTGGAAGGTCTCTAAAGAGGGCAATTCACCATTTACCTATATCATAGTTGACAACCAAACGTGAGTGTTTTTTTTAGCCCTGATGTTGTTTGTGAATTTGAGGACCTGTTTTATATTGTAAGCAGTTAAGTTTGAGTACTGTGGTCTTCTTTGTGTCAACTTCTAGTAGTTAAGTATTCAAGCAATAGTTACTTTAAATATAGAATGTGAAATGGTAGTCCTATGGCTTGGAACTGTTTTGTTTGCCTAGATCATCAGATCTTTATTGGTTATTTTTTTTCAGGAAAACGCGTACTTGTATTCACACGCCTGGAGACCCCCCCATGTTACCAACTGACCTTTCTCAATCGAGCATGTTCTCAGCTCTAGACAGAGCAAGCATTGTATACTTTGATGTAAGATTACACGAAACGGCCTTGATGATTGCAAAAGAGGTAAGCATGCATCTCTTTACATTTTAAATGGGTTTTAGGTTTCACAAGTTCCTAAATTTCTCCCAAGTACACCAAAACAAGTGTTTTTTTTTTTATTGTTATGCGCAGTATTATTTCTAAATTTCTAGTTTGATTGTATGTATGTAGGATTAGTCTTTGATAAGTATTTGATGTTTGTAAGATTTCACAAGATTCTCTTTTTTCTTGTGTTTTCAAAAACATAAAATGCCACGCAACCTACATGTTCATTTCCTCCTGTGCTTGTTGCGTTTATCCAGAGCAGGCAAGTCGCAAGAAGATACCTATTCTAGTTGATGCAGAGAAGAAAAGAGATGGTTTAGATGAACTCTTGCAATTCGCCGACTACGTTGTCTGCTCAACAAAATTCCCTCAGGTAAGTTAGTCTCAGTTTCAGTTCTTGTTTTTCCGGCATCTTTTTTTTTTAGCATTTGAGGCTAAATATTCTCAGCCCCTCACATCTTGCAGACATGGACAGAGGTGTCGTCAACTCCTGGTGCACTTGTTTCCATGTTGTTGAGATTGCCTAAACTGAAATTTGTGATCGTGACCTTGGGTGAAGAAGGATGCTTAATGGTTCAAAGAGCTTCAACAGGTACAAAACCCGAGACTTTATGTCACTCACTAGAATTCAGAACTTCTTACATGATCCTTTTCCCCGGTCATCAACATCCTTTGGCTGTGTCGAGTTTAGCAGAAGTATTTGAATCTCAAGAGATAGACATTGAGAGCTTGTTGGAGACACTGAAGCATAGAAATGACTCAACCACAACATTTCCAACATGTGTTTCGTCGGTAAATAAACGTTCTAGCTCCTAAAAGAAATTTTCACCGTATGAAAACAACAAACCAACCATTCACACACATTTTCTCTTGCAGGAGACAACAAAGCTGAAGGCCAATGGGGTAGGAACAGTGACCGGAAGATTATTTCTTGGAACAGCAGAGAAAATTCCTCCAGACGAGCTTGTAGACACCACCGGTGCTGGAGATGCATTCATAGGAGCAGTTCTATATGGTAAACGATTTGCAAAATTTCTTGTACATGCCCTGAAAAATATGAACCCAAAACCCAAAAATGACCTATCTCTACTTGTTTCCTTGATCTGTAGCCATATGTGCCGGCATGCACCCAGAGAAAATGTTACCGTTTGCTGCTCAAGTGGTAACTCTTCTAAACTGAACCTCTCTGCTTTGTTTTCACCAATGCATATGAAACCTCAACATTACATATAGATTATGTGAATCTTGGAACTGTTTTCGGATAACCGAGCTTCGTAATCCTAAGCCAAAACCCAGACCAGTCTCAAAGTTTTGAGCCGCCACGTGAATCCCTGGTTGCCATTAGTTTGGGGCTCATATAAATGGCCATTGTTTCCAATGTTTTTCTAGCCTCATCAAACCATCACCTTCAGTCCGCAAACTGTAATTTAATTTCCAAATGGAACATACATAACGTTTTCATCCTGATCTTTGTAACAATTGCTTTGTATATGCAGGCTGGTTGCAGCTGCCGAGCTATGGGAGCTCGCACTGGTCTTCCTCACCGTGCAGATCCTAGACTTGTACCCTTTCTGGTTTGACACTCTCTGTGTTCCTTTGTCAACTTCTGAGTCTCTTTACTCCATTACCCACTTCATGTAATTTAAATGTTCTTCTATTGGATGAAATAAAGACTTGGTATCAAATAATATTCTGGTTAGGTTTGAGTGTTTGACTCTTTTTTTTTGTTCTTATTTAAAAAGTAACATATATGGTGAAGTGGTGTTATTCTAAACTACTAAATTCTAGCGATTGTGAACGCTTCAACCTTGATCTCGATCGTATGATCAACGGCTAGATTCCACCGAACACTACATGCTGATAATCCGTCGACTGCTCCAAGTCAATGGTGGATAGCTACGCCCAACTTGCCGATGTTAAACAATAAACACAACAAAGACAAAATCATAATTGTTGGGTCCACGCGCCCCTCTCATTGGCTAAAAATGTGGAACCCATTTTCTCTGTCTATCAGAAGAAGCTTAGTGACGGCGAGATGATCGGCCATGTGAACCGGTAAAAGAAGCAAAATGTGATGTCAAAAGAAGTC